CTTATCCGTATAATTCAATTCTCAACCTCCCAGATATACCAGGTGGTCTATTCCACGATTGTGGTCATGAAATTCAACACCATAACCCAAAAGAATTATAATAGAATTATAATATAATGTCATCCCACCCCGCGCCCAAACTCGTGAAGCACTGCCCCCAATAAAGTGTCAATTTAATAGTCAATTAAGCATACAATTTTAAGAGAGTAATCCCCCAGGTCGTTGCAACCATGGAGGAGACTCATTAAAAGCAGCGGCGTCATCCTCAACATCAGTAGCTATGGCGGCAAGATTCCGGCAGCATCACGGTAGTGCAACGGCGCATTCGGCAACCCCAGAGCCAACATCACCCTAGGGCAGCGAACAACGTACATAGCGGCAATCCAAGAGAACAGAGAAGCAGCGAGAAATAAACAGAGCAGGAAGACAATGAACAGAAGAAAAGAACAACAGAGACGAATAGAACAAATTACTGTGTTCAGAGCAACCATCCAAATTCCCAATCCAATTCAATCAACAGATTCAACAATTCAATCCACCAATTCAACATCAATTGCACGAAAATATATCAATGAACCCTAAACTACGAATCAATTCTAACGAGAGATAAATCATTCACCTCAATAGTTTGACGTATTAAAATTAAACAATTTGGAAAAAATCTCTGGTGAGCAGGCGGCGGCACGGTGACAGAGCACGGCTGCGGCTATCCGTTGTCCTCGTTCTTTTTCTTCTTTCCGTTTCTTTTTCTTTTCCCCTTGTGTGCGTCTGTATATATTAAGGGGGAAGGGGGAGGGGTTTCCGCTTACGGGTAGGAGTAGGTTAACTTAATTATTATTAATATTTAATATTATAAAATCTTTATATTTATTTATCAAACTGTAATGTCTATTTTGTTTATCGCGGTGTATACGAAAGGCCAAATTTAACAAATTATATACCGTTGGTCACCATTTTACGAGATTTACCCGAAAACCTAATTTTTAATTAAAATGGTCAACTTTACAAATATTTCATATTTTAAAGAAAGTAAATAATCTATTTATTTTTTTATTAAAATAACGGCTAACTACTGACTCGGTTTTCAGGGCGTTACAGAGAAAATTGCAACGGACACTCTGTTGCACCTACCTGTTGCGAACATTTTACAACGATAATCCGTTGCAAAACTCTGTTGCAAATAAAATGCATCATAAACATCGTTGCAGAAATCTGTTGCAAAAATATTGCAACGGAAACTCTGTCGTAAAAATATGTTGCAATTACTCTGCAACAGAAACTTGTTGCAAAAAATTGTTGCTAATAATCTGCAACGACAATTTTGTTGCAGAAATCTGTTGCGAATACTCTGCAACAAAAACCCGTTGCAGAAATCTGTTGCATAACGTTCCCGGAAAATGGCGCCAACCTCCCGCCATAATTGCAACGCATTTTTTCACTTTCCTTTGCAAACAATCTGTTGCAAAAAAAATTCCGTTGCAAATAAAATAACCGTTGCAATTCTGCTATGGAAATATGTCTGTTGCAATTTTTTGGTTGCAAAATTGATATTTTCTTGCAGTGAGTTTATTCAGCGGGGAGGCAATCGTGGAAAAGTCTTTCACAAATCGGCGATAAAAGCCGACCAATCCAAGAAAACTCTCACCTCCCTAGCATTGCGAGGAATTTTCCAATCAACTACAGCGGCGATTTTACTTGGATCAACGTTTACCCCTTCAGCATAGATCACGTGACCTAAGAAGGTCACCTTATCAAGCCAAAACTCGCATTTGGATAATTTAGCGTAGACCTTATGCTCCCTTAGAATTGTCAACACCTTTTGAAGATGAAGCGCATGCTCCTTAGTGTTCTTCGAAAACACCAAAATGTCGTTGATGAAGACCACCACAAATTGATCCAAGTATGGTCTGAAAACGCTGTTCATCATATCCATAAAGACAATAAGGGCATTGGTCAACCCGAAGGGCATCACAGTGAACTCATAATGTCCATAACGGGTTTTAAAAGCAATTTTAGGTATGTTCTCCTTCTTGACTGGTATCTGATGATATCCTGACCTCAATTTAATCTTGGAGAACACCCTCGCACCTCGCAGTTGGTCAAACAGGTCGTTAATGCGCGGCAACGGATAATGATTCTTGACGGTGGCCTTATTAAGCTGTCGGTAGTCAATACAAAGACTCATAGACCCATCTTTCTTTCGTAAAAAAAGAACCGGTGCGTCCCATGGAGATACACTAGAGCGAATGAATCCCCTATCAAGCAATTATTGCAATTGTGCCTTCAGCTCCTTCATCTCTGCTGGGGCCATGCGGTACGGGGTCGTTGAGATTGGCTCGGTATCGGGAACCAGATCAATGGAAAACTCCACCTCCCTAGGAGGCGGTAGTCCATGAATCTCATCAGGAAACGCATCAAAAGTCCCATACTGAGGGTATATCCTTCAAGTCGAGAGGTTCTTTTCGGACATCTCTGACATGGCAAAGGAATGCCTCACATGAGAGAGATAAACTCAGAAATTTTAAGCAACAACTCTCCGCTCAACATGATCGTATCGCCGTCTGATGCTTTCAACTGAACGGTCCTCGAACCACAGTCAACAATGGCCTGAGTTCATTGAGCCAGTCCATACCAAGGATGATTTCGAATTCCTTATATGGAAGCTCGATCAGATTTACGGGAAACAACTTCCCGTGCGCAGTCAACAAGCATTGGCCGTAGACGTAATATAGACTCATGTTGTGCCCCAAAGGATTGGACACCAGCATTGGACTCTCAAGTCGACTCCTCACAACATCAGAAGTGGCAGGTTGAGGCACGCAAATATATGACAAGGTAGAGCCAAGATCAATCAAATCTAACATATCGAAACCATAGAGTGAGAACATACTGTAGAGCATATGTCCTGGCCGATGCGTGACCCTAGTGCTGCGCCACAGGCTGCAGCAGTTCTGATGTTGCTAACGCTGCTGTTGGGAGCCAGTTGCGGAAGGCTGACTCTGCGCGAGACGAGAAGCCTCTGCCTGGCTCGCCGCCTGGGCGGTCGAAAACTGGTTCCCTGGGTTTGTGGGACAGTTCTCCCTAATGTGACAAGACTGCCCACAGCCCAGGCACAACCCCATACTCCACCAACACTCGCCTGGATGATAACGGTTGCAACTTGTACACAATGGATGCTTAGGTGACTTCCCCTTGCTATTCGAGGCCACGGATTGCGTTAGTGTGACTTGGCCTTCTTGGATAGTTGAGTCCCCGATCAACTCGAGGGTCTCTTTCCCTCAAAGACTTTGCCCGAACTGGTCGCCGGCGGGCGTACCTTTGCTGGCTTCTGATCAATCTCCGGCTTCCAACCTTGGTTCTGACCACTTCCTTCGCCTGCTCGTACATAAAGCCGAAATCCTGCCTTGACGTCGTGGACATGTACTCCTGAAGCTATAGGCGCATGCCCTTTACAAACGTGTCACAATGTCTCTTGGTGGTGTTCACCAAGTCTTGACCAAATTCTGCCAAGTGACCAAACCTCTGGCAATGCTATGGTAAGCTCATAGTCCCTATCTCAAGGTGCATAAACTCTTCTCGTTTCTCTTCAACGAACGACTCAGGAATGTATTCACCCTTTAACACTCGATCAAAATATGCCCACGTCAGTAGGGCTGGGTGGTCCGCGTTGTGAGTGGTGCGTTTCCACCACTCGTACGCATGACTCTGCAACATCATTACTGTCAGATGAGCCCACTCTCTATTCAGGACCTTCAGATTCTCAAACACACGTCTCACGCGCTCGAGCCATCAAACGCAACCAGGGGGTCTGCAATATCTTTGCCGAGAAACTCCTCAGCGCCGTTCTTCTTAAGCTTCTCGATGGTGAACCTTGACTCAGGTTGCTGAGCACGCGCTATGGCATTCTGGTTCATGATGAGCACCTGCTGCAGGAGCTGCATCCTCAATGCATGGTCCATCAATGGAATATTAGCAGGCCCACCATTCGTCCCTCCTTGCGGTGGAGCATTCTGATTCGCATTCTACTGGTGCGGGAACACGCTTGCTTCCTTAGAATGGTCGTCGTTGTAATTCACAAAAGGGTCCATTCTACATTTTTTTAATGGCAATTAAGCAAAGATTTCACAAAATCATGCATTAAAAATTTAGAGTTACCGCCCGGAGTAGTGAGTCGCGAAGCTGTGGAAGACCTATTTTTTCGAAAATATACATTTAATTATTTATTTTTGAAAATATACATTTATTTATTTTGGCCAAAAACCGTTTTTAAAACCACATGCTCCGATACCAAAATGTAACGCCCCAACTCGCGTAACCCGAACCAAGGAGTTAACGAACCGAGTTGCTACTAAATTGGTATTCACAGCAAAACAATTTAGATAATTATTTAAAAACATCCAAATACCACATTAAGTACGAAACATTTGGAGTAAAGTCCAAAATATGTGGAAGCCTTAAAATAATGTTCTACAGTCAATTTTTTAACCAAATAATTAATAAATGTATTAATTAAATGTTCATAATGAAAATGATGGCGTCATCCACTGCGCCACGTATCAACGTCCTGCAGGCTGGCCCTCCTGATCCAAATCCCTACCTGCGTGCAGTCAAAGACAACAAGATTACACGCTCAGCAGAAAGCTGAGTGAGAAAAATATCTAACGCTTGAATCAATTTCACAGATAGTATCGCATTTATATAATCAGCAACATCAGTGAACAATCAACATTTATTTTCAGGCACAAGAATCCAATAGTTCCAATTCATTTATTCATAGTGGGCTAATACTGCACCAAAGAGAATCCCTTAGGTAGGACACTCAAGAGAATCCCTTGAGGTAGATGCTCGGACAAACCCAAAGAGAATCCTCAATGGGCGGGTTGGAGTCCCCACCAAGGAATCCCTTAGGTAGGACAGTGACTGCCAAACATACGTTTTGAACCCTAGACCACTGGATATGCAAATATGCTCCACAAGGCCCGAACCTAACAACAGTCCTATTTATGATTAAGCTATCCAATTCAATTCAGATCTGCCTAGGTTTACTAGGTGGCCAATTTCCAACGGAGTTCACAAGCGACAACAAGCACTTAAACATTTCCATAAACAAAACATCACACTAAGCGGCCTATCGGGAGAATCACTTCTCACCGATTACCGTCATGCTCAATCAACAAGATTAAACCCAATAATATTTAAATAACTTACCTGTGTCACGAACTTGGGACTAAGAACTCAATCCTCATGCCTGCTGCACCCACCGGAATAGTACAATTCACCACCGGATAAGCCCGACAACCCGCCATGCCGACCCGGCAGCCCCAACCCGGTGATCATTCGGACAGCCCCTTATTGCCAGCCCAAACAGCCGACCCGGGCAGCCCAACCAACCGGCCCGAACAGCCTAACCAACCCAAACAGCCCAATCGAACCCAATTGAACCCAAATCCCCCAATTGGACCAGCACCATCCCCAATGCAAAAAAACTAACCCAATTAGACCCGAATTGACCCAATTGAACCAATTGGGGCCAAATTGGACCCGCCTGATCTGTCCAGCATGTCGTCCGCAGCCACCGCCGGCGTGACGCTGGAAAAACAGCCCCACGAACCCCCCCAGTTCAAAACCCAAAGAATTCAACACACAATCAACCAAAAATTTCATAATCAAATGCAAGATTAATACAAACAAGATTAATACAAACAAGATCCTAGTTTAGGAATTAACGCTAGTGATAGATATTTGGGCAATGAATCACCTCAAAAATTGAAGCATTCAGAACTTGGATTGGAGGAGAGGGAGGAATCTCCACTGCTGTTTCCGTCGCCGCTGCTAGGCCCGTCGGAATCCACGCGCACCGTCGGGAAGAAGGGAAGCGTTGCTACGACGTTCGGCGAAGTCACGAATCGGTGAAGAGAACCAGGCTGACGAAGAGAAGGACATGCATGGCTTCCGTGTAACTCCTTCACTATTTAATATAAAGTTAAATAGATTTCAGGGTCCAATTACACTTTCTAACCAGTTAGGATAAATTTAAGCCCAATTACCTTATTTGTCAGTCGTATCTTAGGCCCATTAAGTCTGATTCATGATCTGTTTGCACGGTCGGGTTCAGAACAGCGAGCCCTATAACGTAGGTCAACTCTCATGTTAAGTATGCAAATTAGAAAATAATCTTCGTATTGACCGAATCAGTAATTAATTAATTATATAAATTAATTAAAAATTCTAAGCCGGGTTTCAGGGTATTACAAATTCACCCTATGAGTCTCGTGGATTTCGTACCAACGGAACAGTTTTGTTGGACATGAGTTCAAACCCCTTTTATATATATATTCTTGAATATTTTTTGGTTTTGATAAATGACAAACAGGATGATTAAAATCGACGATGATCGAAAATTTATTTTTCGTATTGAGAAAAGCAAAGAGGTGTATCAAGAAATTTACATCAATAAAATTCAATGCTCACCCCTACGCAGAGTTTTTGAAGTGAAGTGAAGATTCCGAAGACTTCTATTTTTTATTGAGTCTAGCAATTTTTGTAAGGATGACAATCATTTTTTCATAATCAAACTAATTTTTTGAGGGATAAATTATTATTTTCTAAGTCAGTTGAAAAATCAATTTTTTTCTGTCTAAAAATAATTTACTTGGTCAGTATCAAAATCTCTTAAAATACTTTTTAAATATATACATATTTTTTATAGTTAGCAAAATACACTTTATGTTAGAATAATAGACCAACGCTAGAGGGGGGTGAATAGCGTTTGATCGTAGAAATCGCAGAAATAAAAAATTTAAAAGTGTGAAAAGTAAAGAGCGTAGAAAAAGTAAAGGGAGCACACCAAGATTTATACTGGTTCACCACAACGTGTGGCTAATCCAGTCTCCCGAGAGACTCTCTCGAGCTACACTACTTCTGTTAAGCTTACGGGTTCTTAACAAACCGTTACAACTTGAGAACTCGAGTCCCACGAGCCTCAACAACACTTGCTCGGAGATACCGCACTCCAAGACTTCAACCCGAAGAAAAAGCACCTTTCCTTCGTACAACCAAGGGAAACAAACTTCCCTTAACGTCTATAAACACTAAGAACACTCAAGACCAAGGCTCTCTCAAAAGAGTGAATATGAGTAAAGTAATACGCTCAAGATCACAACACGAACTTCACAAAAGTGGCTCTCAAAAAGCTATGTATAATGTATGAATAATATGTAATGAAAGAATGGGAGTTGTGAAGTAATGTGATGTTTAAAACAAACCCAAACACCCCATTTTATAGTGGAAAAATAGGCTCCAACGGACCAAAACATTTAAGGGGTGATTGGCACAATTTGTGGGATTTGATTAAATTTGGATCTGCTGAAATTCACCCAGACAGCGCTGTCCTAGGCTTGGACATTGTTGTTCTAGGCTTGGGTTTTGAAAAATGGGAAGCAACGGTCATGCCAACAACGATGTCCAATACTCCTACATCGCTGTTTTGGCTGTTGACTTCCAAACAAGGAAAGTTTTAGCCTTAAATTTCTTCCAACGGTCAGGTCCCTACATCGATGTTCAATACTTGAACATCGCTGTTTAGGTCTGACTTTGAAGGTGGAAGTTTGGCCTGACATCACTGTTGCTGGGTCAACAGCGCTGTCCAAAAACTTTCTGCCAATGTATTTGGTTTTGGCTTAGGTTGGGACAGCGATGTAGGGTATGCTACATTGCTGTTCCAGATGTTTCTAGAAACCCAACCTTGGCTCAACAGCGATGTCTAACATCCAACATCGCTGTTGGAAGACTTAACGCCAAACCATGGTTTTCAGCTACCCAAGCCAGACAGCACTGTTGGTTACACCAACATCGCTGTTGGGCTGGTTTAGCCAGACCCATGGTTGGTTTAGTCAGCCGTTAGCCGATGTCAAAAATGTAAGTTCTCCAAAATAAAAACCAAGTATTGAACATGTTTGTTTAATGAATTTTGATAAGAAATCAAGCAAAACATTTTGAAAACCACGTCATTTAGTTGAAAACCACGGTTAGCCAAGTTTACGCCGTTTCACATGGTTTTCACTAAACGACCAAAAACGAAAGATGGTTTTTGAAGCGTTTTTGTTGGAGAACTATTTAAACATGCCCAGAAGTAAAAACAAATCATTAAAAGTTGAAAACCACTTGGTTGGTTTGGACCTCAAAAACCAACACCGATAACCGAAAGCCGAACGCCGGTTTCCGAAGACCGAACGCCTGATGGCTTGGTTTTTGGTTTGGGCGAACTCCAAGTGTTTTTAGGCATGTTTAAGACTTAAGAAAACCATTTTGAATATGCAAAAAATATTTTGATGAAATGAGCCTAGAGAGCCATGTTTTGAAAGTTTGTGCCGGTCTTGATCACATTAAAACCGACTGAATATAATTCTAAGTCTTCATTCTTGATTCTTGGTTCTTGGTTCTCAGTTCATCATGCCATGTTCCTTCGCCTTGGTTTTGCTCAGTTTAACCTTGTTATTGTCGCGGCGGTTTGGCATTATCAAAACCTGTCATAAAATGAACACGGCTTAGTACGACATAGGCGTAAACCCGTATTCCAACAATTTCCCCCTTTTTGACAATGGCAAACAAGACGGGGATATGCATACTAAGGGATATTTGACTTTGAAAAGTGTGAAAAAGTTCCCCCTTAATTTGTGCTTAAAAGAAATAGTCATATTAAAATCAAACGATCCCGTTTTTAGGGACGTTCCCCCTTAGTGTATGCATGACCCTTTTCTTCCCCCTTTTGACATTAACAAAAAGATAAAAGATAATTTTATTTAAATTGGGAAATAGCGGAGTACAACGGAAGCGATTAATGAAAAAAACAGGACAAAGATAAAGAGAGATAGAAATTCTAGGGGTGTCCTAGTCTTCGTCTTCGGTTTCCTCCTCCTCGTCGTCGTCGTCCATCTCATCCCCATCGATGGCATCGTCGAACTTATCTTCGTCCGGGGAGCTTGATGGGGCATAGGAGG